GAACGGTAGTATATGATGTACAAAATAATAATTTATGGAGAAAAAATCAACAGTGAAGAAATAGTGTATGACGCTCAGCAGTCATTTGCAAATGAGCATGATGTGATAAAGCAGTTGGTGCTTTGTAAACATCAGTGTTAAAATGAAGTTTGTGTTTATACTTTATATAAACTGCCCGACCAGTTAGCGTGTAGCTGAGTCTCTAGCCCTAGCTAGCCCATAGTCCATAACGTCGAGCGTGGAGCCCGTGCACGTGTAGGAGGAACAGGCGTCGCTAAGGAGCCGCTGCCGACCACCCATAACGCAGAGGGCAGACGCTCGTGTACGTGTAGGGAGGAGCAAGAGATAGGGTCGTCTCTGGAGGCATCGAGCGTCAACATGACTGGTCGAGGATTTGCATTAAGTATAGCTGTATGTTATATTTAAGATGGTATACATGGACAAGCGTTATTTGAAGAATAATCATGATGAGGACGTTGTGGAGAAACGTCGTAATGAAAATTATGTTAAATATAAATATTAGAAGTGTACTTATCTTTGGATAGAAATCTGGTCGATGGCGATAAAGTTGTCCGATCCTCATACTTTTCGGACTGTTGTGATGGTGGTCGCGGTTGTCATAGCGCCGTTCTTCGTGGCGATCATCATTGCGACGTGGTCTGGTGGTCGAGGTGGTCGGAGCTCGGCGGAGCCGCTCGGAACGTGGTCGACGTGGTCTGGTGGTCGAGGTGGTCGGAGCTCGGCGGAGCCGCTCGGGACGTGGTCGACGTGGTCTGGTGGTCTTGGTGGTCGAAGCTCGGTGGAGCCGCTCGGGACGTGGTCGACGTGGTCTGGAGGTCGAGGTGGTCGGAGCTCGGCGGAGCCGCTCAGGACGTGGTCGACGTGGTCCGTGGTCGACGTGGTCGGAGCTCGGCGGAGCCGCTCGGGACGTGGTCGACGTGGTCCGTGGTCGACGTGGCTCGACGCGGCTCGCTTGGCTTGACGTGGCTCGACGCGGCTCGCTCAGTGGCTCACTTGGCTCGACATGGCTCACTAGATGGCTCAGCGTGGCTCGCCTCTGGCTGAGACCGCTCGCTGTTGGAGTCGTCGTATTTGGCTCCATGATGATGGATACGTGCAAGTAGACCTCACGTGTAGTTGCTTTGCTTCCTTCCGTGTAGATGTATATACGTATATACATGCTACGTATCTTGTTAGCTTTGCATGGCTTGGGTAGATCACGCATCCTTGCTGCATGCAAAGCCGGAATTAACTAGAGCTTTTCAGATCTTGCATGTTGTCGATGGTTGACTCCGATCCGGTGCATGGTTGTGATGCCTGGGCCCATCGCGCGGCCAGAGCATGACTCTATAGATTGAACCCATTTCGGGCCTCCTTGATTGGTCAATGATAAGTGTCGTCGGTGCAGATCCATGATTGATCGTGGTCGGGTGCGACATGCCAGCTCGTCGAGTCGATCTGCTCACACCTGCGAGATGCGTTGCGGCATCAGATCCTTGTTGTAGGTCATCGTGGTTGCCAAAGGACACCGCCGCAATCAGTCGAGTTGTTATTGACATGTTGAAGAAGAAAATTCCATCCGATTCGTCGAAAGATCAGCGCGCACAACCCCTAAAGGGGCCCCCTACCTGGCGCGCCACTGTCGACGAAATATGATCGTCTATCCACCGAGGGGGGTGCCCGTGGTGGTAGATTATCGGTAGGATGCGCATAATCAGGAACCAGATGGTTACAGAGACACAAGACACAAGATTTATACAGGTTTAGGCCGCTAGTGTGGTGTAAAACCCTACGTCCTGTGCTCTGTTATTTGTATTGATCTGGGGTGAGATCTGTTATGATCTATATGATCTGTCCTCTAGGGGATCCCTGCCCCTCCTTATATACTGCGAAGGGACAAGGTTACAAGTAAAGTATCCAATTTGGTACAATTACAATATAGTGCCGTGCTCCGCACGTCTTCATCTTGCGGGCTGGGCCACTTCCGGTGGTGCGGCCCATGTATACCCATGAGGGTATTGGGGGTCTATTCCCCCACACGACCGAAATATACTCCGCTTCAGCGGTTGAAAGTGCTACACTATTTTGCTTCTTTGATGACCAAGACACAAGTGATCTTCCCAATAGTTGACATGTGCCCGATGTGCTCTTTCTCTCAACTTTGCATCCCGCATAATCGGAGTCCGAATATCCAATCAACTCAAATCTTGCTCCTTTGGGAACCACAATCCAACATTTTGTGTATGCTTCAAGTACCTCAATATTCTCTTTGTTGCCTTCAAATGACTTTCTCTTGGCGAGGCTTGAAATCTAGCACACATACATACACTAAACATCACATCTGGCCTTGATGCGGTCACATAGAGTAGGCTTCCAATCATAGACCGATACTTTTTTTGATCCACCATGTTGCCACTAGCATCACTATCCAAGCTTCCACTTGTCCCCATTGGTGTACTAATAGCTTTAGCATCATCCATTCCAAACTTCTTTAGCATGTCCTTGATATACTTGCCTTGACTCACAAATGTGCCATTCTTCATTTGCTTGATTTGAAGACTAAGGAAGTAGCTAAGCTCTCCAATCATGGACATTTCAAACTCACTAGCCATCATCTTGCCAAACTCCTCACAAAAATTTTGATTTGTTGACCAAAAAATGATATCATCAACATAGATTTATATTACAAACAAGTCATTTTCAAGCTTCTTGGTGAAGAGAGTGGTGTCAACCTTTCCCATTTTGAATCCCTTAGAGAGTAGGAAATCCCTCAATCTCTCATACCATGCTCTTGGTGCTTGTTTCAATCCATGCAAAGCCTTTCTCAACTTGTAAACATGGTTGGGTTTCTTTTCATCTTCAAAACCGGGAGGTTGCTCAATATACACAAGCTCATTGATGTACCCATTTAGAAATCCATTCTTCACATCCATTTGGTACAACTTGATGTTGTGGGCACAAGCATAGGCTAACAAGATCCTAATTGCTTCCAATCTTGCAACCGGGGCATATGTTTCTCCAAAGTCAAGACGTTCAACTTGAGTGTAACCTTGAGCTACTAATCTTGTTTTGTTCCTTATTACTATCCTATCTTGATCTTGCTTGTTCTGAAAGACCCACTTAGTTCCAATCACATTATGATCCTTAGGCCTCTCAACTAACTCCCATACTTGGTTTCTTGTGAAGTTGTTTAGCTCTTCATGCATAGCATTGACCTAATCAACATCCTTCAAAGCTTCATCTATCTTCTTAGGTTCAATTGATGACACAAATGAGAAATGCTCACAAAATGAAGCCAATCTTGATCTAGTTTGCACACCTCTTGAAATATCACCAATTATAGTGTCCAATGGATGATCTCTTTCAATATTGGTTGGTTGAAGCACTTGCACTTGATTGCTAGCATTTGATTGATCACAAGCACTTAGGGTTTCATCAATTCACCAAAACCAAACTAAAGCTTTCAGTTGGCGACCCCCTTGACCTTGTCGGTGTGCTTTACATATTTAGTTTACCCATGGTGGTAGCGCTGCACGGGTGGTTTTGCTGCCTCTGTTTCATCGTCGACAGTCGCATGGAGGACTTCAGTGTGGCTGGTTGTGGCGTGCCCTTCGGCACGTGGTGCTCCAACTCCTTTATTGGCAGAAGTGTAAGGCTTTCCGTCCCCTTTTTGCGAAAAGGTGGGAACTTTTGGCATCCCCTTGTGTGGGTTCCTTGTTCGTGCTACTGACGGTGTTGGTAACGGCAAAATAATCTTCTAGTCGTTGGTCTCATGGTCGACACTAGCGGATCCCTCATCCTCTCCTTTTCTTCACATGTCGGTAGCCGATGCTCATTTAATGTCAACGATGCGTTCTGATGGAGTTTCCAAGCGCTCACTCTTGTGGCAGATCCCTGTGAGGCTAGGAGGTGGATCTTGGCCCGATCTCGACAGTCATTTCTGGCGGACGATGTTCAGGTGACGATGAGAACATTCTGGTGTTTTTGGTGTTGCATGCTGTAATTTCCAATTTTGCCAAGTTGTTTTCTATAAGACTGGGGATGTTTTGTGCTATGGCTTCTTAATACAATTTCTCCCTTTGCTAAAAATATAACATGTCACAAAATATAGGATTATATGGGAAAGTTAGTCTCCATAATTTACAAAGCATGTATATGGACATTTTTCTTTTCTTCTTCTTTTGGCCTCACACACACATCTATCATTTTCTCTCTATCCCCGCCATTTAGATCTCATATAGAACTAGATCTAGACCACCAAATCCATCAAAGATAAAAAAAATAACAAATATAAAATACATAGGAGCCACAAACTAGCCACTTACATACAACTCTTCCAAACAAATCAAGATCAAAACCTACCTCCTTGAGAAATCACTTTTTTGGGCCTCCTTAAGCACCTCAACTCAAGCAAGAATGTGTCCAAGTGAGTGATCTTTGGAAGGAAGAAGAAGGTGTGGTTGATATAGGCCTCATTACCATTAATCCTTAACAGAGGCGTGCGTTGTAACACAACCACCTCTGCTAACAATGGGGCATTAAAAAATGTTACTTGGCCACCTCTATAAATTTATTCTAACAATGGGGCATTAAAAAATGTTACTTGACCACCTCTATAAATTTATTAATAGAGGCAGTCTTCCTAACTCGCTCGTCCCTGTAAAAAAATTAACAATCTCATTAGAACACCCGCCTCCGTTAACAATCTAGATGACAAGTATATTAGATTATTATAATCGTGGAACATAATTTCATAATAAATATAACATTCCTAGACCTAGTTAAATATAATTATATGGATTTGTATGTAAATTTTCCTCGGAAGAAGCAGTAGGCAACACAAGGCGACCGACACTCACAGCACCATCCAATGCCCTGTTCGCTCGGGCTTATTTGGCTGATAAGCTATGACTAAAAATACTGTTGGCTAATTTAATGTGAGAGAAATATACTATTCATTAACTTAAAAAAGTACGGCTTAGGAATCCAACAAACCCACCATGGCCTTTGTCTCCGATCGATACAATACAGTGGTGGGCGAGAAGTCGCCGGCAGCAGGTGAGACCGATGTGGATCGATACAAAACAGTGGTGGGCGAGAAGTCGCCGGCAGCAGGTGAGACCGACGTGGATCGATACAATACAGTGGTGGGTGAGAAGTCGCCGGCAGCAGGTGAGACCGATGTGTAATGTGCTTTGATCATACTCCTGCTGGCTGGCTGGTTCTTGCATAGCTAGATTATCCGTACGCGATGAGCTCCAGCGTGCGTCAACGTCACCCATGTCCTCCCGGATCAAAATCGAGCTGCGCTCTACTCGCCGTCGCCGCAGCCCCTCCCCGACGACGACGGCATCATGAAGCTGACGTTCATGGACTCCCTGTTCGTCGACAGGGTCATGCCGATGCGGCGGCTGTTCATGTACGAGGGCCCCGGCGTCCCGCCCTTCCCGGACCTCGTCGGCTCCCTGCGGTCCTCCCTCGCCACCGTGCTCGCCATCTTCTTCCCTCTTGCAGGGAAGCTCACCTACCGCCCATCAGCCGGCGGTGACGTCGTCGTGGACTGCTCGCCGGCCGCGGTGTCGTCTGGCGTCAAGTTCGTGGAGGCCGAGTACGCCGGCGGCATCGACGACATGCGCCGCGTGGCCAGTGGTGGCGGCGACGAGGGCGACAGGGACGCGCTGATGGAGCTCGGGCTTGAGCTGGACGCGAGGCAGCTGCCGGCCCCGGTGATAGCGGTGCAGGTGACGAGGCCGACCGTCGGCAGCGGGCGCGCTGTGGTGGTCGCGGTGGCCATCCGCCACGCCGTGGCTGACGGCCACTCCGTGTGGCAGTTCATGAGGGCGTGGACAGCCGTGGCGCGGGCGGAGGAGGGCTCGGATGCCATGGCACGCCTCATGCCGCCGACCTCCCATCTTCCCTACAGCAGGCGTCGACGCGTCGGTCCCGGCCCACCTCTTCCACCTCCCCGGCGCCCCCGGCCATCTTCCCGGCTTCCTCTGGTCCTTCTCCACGGTGGACACAGCCAACTTAAATTGATGATAAGTTGGGTCAACGTCTAATTTAGTCAAAATCCTAGACTCAAATTTAGATTTAGAATATATGAGACTTATGATATAATTGTTTTTCATTGAATTAAAATGTGTCCTCATTAAAATACAACAATCGTCAACTATTGAAAAAAGATCACCTGAAGCCTGAAGATATGCAGCCCCCTTCTTTTTTTTCGGAACTGCTCTTGTTTGTTTGGCTTATTACAAACACATGAGTTTCAAACACTGCAGTAGTGCAGTACACCCCAAGCAAATGATCGAGTTTTGATTTTTTATCAACCACCTGCGTCGTCATATTTACTCCAAATTTTTGGCTCCGTCCCCTCGTCGTGACACCTGCATGAAGTTGGCTGCGAAGCCCTCCATGTGTGCATGGTCCAGCGACACGGTGACCTGCACACCGCCGTCCTCCGCGCCCAGCAGCAGCACCAGCTCCGTGGTGAAGAGCGACACGAGCTCCACCCGGCTCGGCGCGCCCCACCCGAAGTCCGTCTCGTACGCCATGAACCTGTTCGACGACCCCGTGAACGTGAGCCTCTCCTTGGGCAACGCTCCTTGAGCAGAGCGCGCCCAGCGGGTCCTCGAGCGCGCGGACCGCGTCGCTGATAGCCGCCGCGGCGTGTCCCAGCCCGGCGCCGCCATCGCGCAGGTGGCGCCGCCGCGTAGCACGGGCCACGCAGTTCCCGAAGCTGCGTCGCGGCGCCGGGCCGAGGCGTCGCCGGAGGTCCACTGGCACCAGGAAGTAGGCGTCGCCGCCGGCGGGGTTGTCTAGGGACTTTGCGCGGACGATGAACGTCCACACCAGCGACGACACCGCGACGTAGGTGCTTGGGAATGTGCCCAGGTGTCCGCCGATGGCCTGGCTTTGTGTCAGTATGCTCTGCTTCAGCGACCTGATGTCGTCGGCGCGGAGCAGGAAGCTTCTCCTCCGCTGGTCCAGTGGCGTGTACAAGGACGGCGATCTTGCCACAGGCAACGCCGGCGCAACCGTGCGCAAGAACTTGCGAGCCACTTCCCCGGCTTTGGGGTACGGGATCGCCGTCCGATCCCATGTCGGCGGCGGTGGCGGCACCAGGTCTGAGTCCAACGCGGGCTCACGAGACGCAGCGGACCACGCCCTCATAAACTGCCACACGGAGTGGACGTCGGCGACGGCGTGGTGGATGGACACCCCGATCACCACGCCGGCGCGCCCAGCTCCGATGGCGGGCCTCGTGACCTGCACGGCGAGCACCTGGGCCGGCAGGCACCCCGCGTTCAGCTCCGGCCCGAGCAGCACCAGCGCCTCCGTGTGGTGCTCGTCGCCGACGGCGAGACGGCGCATGTCGTCGATGCTGCCGGCGTACTCGGCCTCGACGAACCTGACGCCTGGCGAGACCGCGGCCGGGGATCAGTCCACGACGACGTCGCCCGTCGAGGCGCGGTGGGTGAGCTTGCCGACGAGGGGGTGGAAGACGGGGAGAACGGCGGCGAGGGAGGACTTCAGGGAGCGGACGAGGGACTGGAAGGGCGGGACGTCGGGGCCCTCGTAGAAGAAGAGACGCTGCATTGGCATCCTGTCGACGAATAAGGCGTCCATAAACGAGAGCTTGACATGGCCGTCGTCGGAGACGGCTTCTGGTGGTGACCAGATGGCAGTCTGATGATCTGGGGATGGAAGCACATGGGTGACGGCGAGAATTCGCATCCGGGACCTCATGGTGCTGGTAGCTTGTTGATCACTGCCTGCTGCTTTTGAGTTGCAAACAACTTATTATCCTACGGTTCCTACATGATATCGAAGTTGGCCATTTTCTAATGCGTAAAATATAACTGTGGAGGCTAGAATACTACCATTTGGCAAGCATGGGTGGCCTCACTGCGAAACACTGATCGACCGCTCCAAGAAGACACATTATATCAACCCTTTTGTGGCCTAACAAAGACAAATGGAAGCAGTGCCTCCAATTTCCAGTCAATTTGGTTGCTATTCCCTGCGTCTTGATGTAACTAAATAGACGATAATACTTTTCTCTATAAACTTAGACAAACTTGAAATAGTTTAATTTTGGGACAAACTCGCTTATATTTTAGGATGTGGCGATTAAAAAATGAACATGGTAAGTTACCATGCTTTATTGAAATCTAATAGATCAAATCATAGTTGACAAATCAATATTCCTTACTGCATAAAAAAATTCTTTATGAATTTTACATGGTAATTGGTGAACCCTACAATGGATCCAAATAACACGGAGACACAAGCTTTCGGGTCGGCAATACCATTTATCTAGCAACCAATGTGCCTTGTCGTGAGAGTGTTCTTGGGACGGCCTTAAGATACCACAGGTGTGTGGTTGATTCACTCTAGTGGCCCTCCACTTCTGAACCTCATCACCATCCACAGCCTTGTTGGCAACAAACCATTTACCTAAGCTTAGTTGATGAATGAACCACATCTTATGTACAGTGATGTTGCACCAAATCATCCTTAAGCCAGAACTTGAGGTCTTCAAGGCTCTCAAAAACCATACCCTTATGGATGAACACCTTCTCACTATTTGCTTTCGACTCCATGGACCTCTATCCACCCTTACGAAACACAAGCTTTGTTAAACGAATGTCCTCGAACAAATACCGACATCGAGAACCACTACACTTGTAGTGTCAAGCTACCTCCTCTCCTTCGATGCCAATGGTGGAATCATTATGCCCGACATAGTCAATGGCTGATGGGTACGACCATGTAATGACTTCATCATGATGGGCAATGCTTGTGTTTCCCCAATCACTTGTTCATGCCTTTGACTAGCCTCTGCCACCGCATCACCCCCATGCCACTTAAACTCATGGACATTATCATCTACCCTTTCTTCATTTCCCTCATCGTCGCCATCTTGATCATCGACAACCCTTTTTCCATTCGCCCACTCCTAAAAGGTCTCTACATCGTAGTCCTTATTAACATGAGCCTCATCATAACCAGGACAATCTTGCTCCATCTCACGAATGGATACATGCGATAAGTCCAGCATGAAGCTTAGTTCTTGGCGTGATGATGGGCCTTCTTGGTTTACTTGCTCAATTGGCTCCTTATCAATATCAATGCTCCCTCGCAATGGAACTATTGCCCTCAACCCTTAGCGTATTGTCATTACGACCTACAATTCATTTGAGATCCCTTCACTAAATTCTTATAAAAGTTCCATGTGACTTAATTTGCATGAGCACATAGTAAGTCATTTTTCACTGGCATCGAAGTATGGAACCTACTAGGTACCAAAGCTTCACAAGCATCCTCAGCAACATCAAAAGCAATCTAACTCGACGGGCCACTTCATTAAAAGACGGTAGATACTCAAATTTCATTAATTCTTCACTTATCTCAACCAAACCCAATCTCTTTTAATTTATTATAGTGCCACTAGAAAAGTAACACGCAGACAACACAATCCATCATGGTGTCATTCCAAACCGTCCAACTGCGACAAGACACCTGTCCGGTTTTGGAGTGTCGTGTCCGGTTTTGGGAATGCGTTCACCTGTTCAGACGATGATGTGATTGCAACGCGAATTATTCCATGCAATTTTTCAAACTACTAAGAAAATTGAAGTGAACTGATATTCCAAATTTGACATCTTAAAAATAATTCAACTGAGAATAATCTTGGGATATCCTGGTACACAAATTTCTTTCTTTATTTTTTTTGTTTTCAGGGTCGTCTCAACTCTCAAGCAATTTGATCCTTGTTGTCTTCTGATGTGGCAGCGAGTGATCAGGAACAATGATTGAGATTTGAGAAGACTTCACTGTGCCAACTTGATTCGATCACAGTGATTGAGAAATGTTTGTCCGGTGTCCTCATTTTCCACGGCGATTAATTGAAAGAAAAAAAAACTGCTCTGGCTCGGCACCACAACACTGACAGTCAAACACGCTGAATTGACGGCTGACATAACGAAGGAACTCACCATCGGCAATGCCGGCGCGAAGATTCGCAGCAACATGCGCGACACGGCCTCTGCCTTGGGATGGCGGTTGATCACCGCGCGGTCGAACACCGGCGGCAGGAACGCCGGCAAGGCCGGCGAACCGCCCCGCGCCGCGGCAGCCCACGCTCGGATGAACTCCCACAGCGCCTGCCCGTCACCCACTCCATGGCACATGGACACGCCGACCACCACGGCTCCGATCCCGCCTCCGTCGTCCGTGTCCGCGGGCCTCGTCACTTGCACGACCAGCGCGGGGACCGGCAGCGCGCTGACCACGACAGTGGGCACGAGCTGCGCGTACGCCTCAGCGTCGTGCTCGGCGTCGCTGGCAAGGCGGCGCATGTCGTCGGTGCTGCCGGCGTACTCGGCCTCGACGAACCTGACGCCCTGGGAGACGGCGCCCGGGGAGCAGTCGATGACGACGTCCCCCGACTTGGAGACCGCGAGGTTGCCGGCGAGCGGGGTGAAGATGGCGAGCGTGGCGGCCAGGGAGGACTGCAGCGTGCCGAGCAGGGCAGGGACGGGCGGCAGGTCGTCGCCCTCGTAGAAGAAGAGGCGCTGCATCGGCTGGTAGGGGAGGAACATGGTGTCCAAGAGCGAAACCTTGATGGCGTGGTCGTCGTTGTCTGTCAAAGGGTTGGAGGTTTCAGAGGGTCGGACATGGGTGACACTGAGAACTCGGACGCGGGAGCCCATGCTGGTGGACTGGTGGTGCCGCGAGAAGCCTAGAAGCAGTGCGTCAGTGTGCTTGTGGTTTCGGGTAGAGGCGGATGAGCATGCTGTTGGAGACTATACCACAAACACTACACGGCTCACGTGGTCCATATATTTTCTCCATCACACAAATATCTACTCCAGATGGCCAGACTTATTCTCTCCGGTTCCATCTCCTCTCTTTTTCTCCTCCGTCTCTCCATTCAAAGCAACAGGGAGAGGAAGATGTCGCGGAGCCTGTGACTCTCCTCCCCGTCTCGAACTCGTGTGCTTGCGAGCCAGGGGGTGCTCGCCGCACAGCACGTGGTGCTCATGCTTGCCAG